ACTACAACAAATTATATAAGGGAATATATATACATAACATACAATATATACTACAAGAAAATATATAAGGAAATATATATACATAACATACAATATATACTACAACAAATTATATAAGGGAATATATATACATAACATACAATATATAGTATACTATACTAGTATACTATATATATTATATATACATGAAGAAGTAGTACTATATAAACTACAAAACAAGATTTTTCAAAATGAGGGCCCCACCCCCACTGACCACCAACGGTCATATTAATTGCACAAATAACCACTTACTGGTCATATTAATTGCACAAATAGCCTTTTTTTTAAAAAAATTACAAAACTAACCTTCTCTAACACTATAAGTACCCCCCTCCCTCTTCTTCATTTCAATACTCAATACTCATTTCTCAATCTAAATTTCTCTCAATCTCCAATTTTCAAGACTTCAAGTCTCAATCTCAATTTTCAAGTTAAATCATGCCTCGTTCGGAAAGAGTGCGCTTATTTGTTTCGCAATACTATGAAGTGCTTGAAGAAAATGAAGAAGGCCAAATATTAAAGTGCAAGAACTGTGGAAGAGTCTTAAATTTTCGTTCAGGGTGTACCATAGGTATTTTAAGGAGGCATATAAAGTATTGTGTTGAGGGTATTTATCCGCAAATTCGTCTTTAAGATTTTTCAACAATTTGTGTTATTTTAAAATTATTAGACGTATTTATGCTTCATGTTGTACTTTGTTATTAATTTATTATGCATGCCAATTTAGTTTTACTATTGATTTGTTATTTTACATTTTCATCAAACACTTTAATAATTAGATTTCTATATTATATATACTACATATATTTATATAGCAATGCATAAGAGCAATTTATATATATACATACACATATGGTTTACAAGAAATTGCCTTAAATAAAAAAAATTAAAAAAAAAAAAGCTCGAAAATAAAAAAAGCCCGTTAGGCCCGCTAAGCCCACGAGCCCGGCCCATTTAGCCCAGGACCATATGGGCTTAGGCCCGTCACGGGCTGGTCCTACCCGTTGAGCCCACGAAGCCCGGGACCGTGAAGCCCGGGACCGCCAGAGCCCGGGACCGCTAAGCCCAGGCCCGTTTAGCCCATTTAGGCCCGGGCCCGACCCACCATAAGCATTACCGCAGGGGTATTTTTGTCCGATATTTTCAGCCTAGTATAAATAGATTCTTTTCCCATTTTTAGGCAATCAGATAGTTTTGTACGTAGAGTTGCGCTCGTGACTTCGTTTCTTTTGCTATTTTGAGTAATTTTAGCTTAATTTCACCATTGAATCTTCAAGTTCTATTTAGTAATTAATTATTATGAGTTTATCTTCATCTATTTCTTTGTTTTTTCTCTTTAGTTATGAGTAGCTAGACCCTTCAGCTAGGGTTGTGGCTCAACCCTAGTGTGGGTAATTGATGGGTCTTGTGTTTTAGGGCTTGATTGACTATGGGTGTTTGATATTTGGACTAATTTCATGTTTAATTGCTGAATTAGTGGTTGCAAACACTAGTTTGTGTTTAGTTGACTTTGGCTCTTCTTGAGAAAAAGAGCCTAAGTCTCTGAAATTGGTCCAACAAGGAATTGGGGCGTACTCAAGAGATTGATAGCCCCAATTAAAGGGTTAAACCTAGATATAGTAATACCCGACTTGAACATTAATTGCTTGTGCAAATTTGCATACCCAATTGGTCTTGAGAAAGTCAATTCGGGCAAAATCACTCGAACTACCGAGAGGTATAGAGTGAGTAGAATCGAGCAATGGTTATATCATACTCCCCAAATGTGACAATCTAGCTTTAGACACAAGAATCTGTCAATTGACCACCTAAGCGAAAGTCACTACCGTAGTGCCTTTTAATCATTTGAACAACTCGCAATAGTTTAACCCTAGCTTATTTTAGTTTAATTTAGCATTGTAGTTTTATAAAATTAGAATCATAATCAAAACCAAAAATGTGTAGAAGTGCAATTTGGAACAAATACACAACTCCACTTTAGATAGACACCCAACTCCAATATCTAGCTCCCTGTGGAAATCGATCCCGACCTTAATCGGGTAAAAGCTGCTTCGACCTCTCTCACTACTCAATAGTAGTGCAGGGTTGGCCCAGATCAAATGACAAGAGAAATTTTACGTGGAAAATTTCCAGCTCAACGGGATTAAAAACCACGACCTACCCTTGTAGGATTTCAACTTCACTACCGAGCAACTTTCAAATTACAACCTATGCAACCTAGGAATTAACTCTTAATCCCTCACTAACTTGTAATACACCTATTACAAGCCACTTTGCAATAACTCTATTACAAACACTTTAAAACTTGACTAACTCTAGCCAAGACTTAAACACGCAGGTTTAAGGTTTACAAAGATGTTCCTCTGAAGTGATTCTAAATAAGCTGGATAGGAATTACAATTTGAAGAACTATTACAACTCAACTAAGGACACACAATAACTCGATATGGGAACTGGTCCGTAGTTGCTTTGTTCTTTGTTCTTGAGGCACTTGAAACTTGCTAGCTGAATAGTCACGTAAGTGAGCTTGTGTAAGATCTCTAAGTGTTCAAGTGTTTTTGTTTTACCTCCCTTGAATGCATATATACATGTGTGACATCACATGTGATGATGAAAGCAAGGTAGGTAAAAACTCTTCCCTGGAAAGTTGACTGCAGCACTGTTCCTGCACTGTAGCGTGTGTAGGCAGCAACTTTTCAACTGCAGAGTTGACCTTGTACAGTCTCCTCGGGAACTGGTAGGGACCTGGTCCCTCAGTTGTTCCTTCCACTCTGAGGAGTTGAATCATATTCCACGTTAAATCCCAACCTGGAATCTTGTGAACTTGAGGTCTTGTAAATGTTTAACATGTTCCTTATCTGGTTCTGGATAGTAAGTTTGTTAGATCATCAAAATATAAAGTAAAGTACTTATAACCTATCAATTTCCCCCTTTTTGATGATGACAAACTTATAATTGAAAATCCTAGAGGGAGCCACAAAGGAACCAGATTGTGAACCAGAAAGACCTTAAGTTCCCCCTGAAACTCTGCATTCCCCCTTTGTCAGTACTTGAACTTTTGTGAGTTCCCCCTGAATGAGTTTCCCCTGAATGTGTATTTTGTTTTCAGATTATTATTCATTCATGAGCTCATATGCACTCTCTCATTTATTCATTCTTTATTATTCAATTAAAATCTTCCCTCTTTTGGCATCATAAAAAGCACAGAACATAGTAGCAGCATAAAGAAGTCTAGCATAGCTCACTCATGCCACTTATGTTCTCACAACATGATAGAAGACAGAAATAGAAGAGCATCATAGATAGCAAAAAGGAAATCACTTGTATTAACCAGAATTGGACTTTTACAGGCAGGAGCAAATTCATTGTTTTCATCCACAGTCTAGAATAAACAAAAAAAGAATTACCAGAAATAACAAACATCACCAAAAAGACAACTTAAGAAGACAGACACTGGAAACTGGACACTAAGGGGACATTCTTTAAGGGACACTAGAGGAAGGGGGCTTGGAAGAGGAAGCAAGAGTTTGGAGGACAAGATCTATGCGAGCATTCGCGGACATTTGCTCAGAGCAGTCTTTCTTTTAGGTCTTCCACCTGTTTCCTTAGTTCAGCATTCTCCTTTGTTAGGCGTGCAACCTCTGCGCTGTGAGAACCACTGAAATTAGGTACCTCTTGAAACTGACTGAGCTGACTCTCAAGAATCGCGTTCCTAGCCTTTAACTTCCGGATCTCCTTTGTGGCACTATTCTGAGCATTTATCAGTTGAAAGATTGTGGAAGTACTTCCAACTCCTCTGAATTTATCAATACACTCACACTCATCCAGAGTAGTTTTTGAAAATGATTGCTTTTTGGTGCCCACTTTGGCCTGTCCCAGAGGTACTTTGAAAAACTCAAAGACCTTTGTGAGAAGGAACCCATAAGGCAGTCCAGGATTCCCGTCTTTGAGGTTCTCTACCTTCTGCATATGCTCAATCATTATGGCAGGCAAATTGATGGAGGAGAAATTATCCAAAGTCTCCATAAGGAATAGATCAGCTTTGGATGCAACAGATCTTCTTTTAGCGCGGGGAAGCAATACTTTGTTAACCATCTCAAAGAGCAGCTGATACACTGGAAGGACTGCCTTCTTATACACCTGTTCCCCATGATGTACTGCCTTGTCCTTGACAATGGCAATTCTGAAGGTTGGTGTGCAAGCACCCTGAGCAGATGACACTCCTTCGGTAGGAACACCCAGAATTGACCTCAATAAGGCAGAGTCCATCACTATGTCCACCCCATTTACCAACACACAGATTTGATCACCATCTACTGTGAAGAGGCTGGTGTAGAAGCTTCGCACCTCGTCCTCATACACTATAGGAGCCACAGTAGTAAACAAATTGGTCCACTGTTGAGCATCACAAATATCCACTAATTGTCTCATCCCAGCACTCTCTAGAATGTCAGAGGAAAATGTGCGGCCCCGCGGCACTTTCTGATTCCCCGGCTTCCTTTTCTCTGACCTCAGAGTTTCACTTACTTTTCCTTTCTTGACAGAACCAGGTTCCTCATCATCACCATCATCATCATCATCCCTCTTTCTTTTCACTGACTTGCCAACAGACTTTTCCTTCTCCACTGACTTGTCTGTCTATGTTAACTAGATTTCTCCACTTCTTCCTCATCTGACTTGTCACCACGCTCCTTCACTGTCTTGTCACCAGAACTTTTTACCAACTTTTTACTAGAACCATCAACAAAACTCTTGGATGAACTCTCACCACCCTTAGAGGTGTGCTTTTCGGATTGAGAGAGAGAGTGCTTCTTCCTAGAAGACTTGCGGGTCAGGGAACTAGGTTCCTCTTTGGTTTCCTCATCCACATCCACTACAGGAACATCCTCTGCTTGTACAACTTTTCCATCTTTGACCAACCTTCTCCTTCTCCGGCTCTTTTTACTCTTCTTGAGGGCAAACTCTAGAGCCTCCTTTTGCTGCAACCGTGAAGTGGGTTGCTTAGGAGGTGGCTCTGAAGTTGCCACTGTCTTAGTCCTAGCCCTGATAAAACTAGCATAAACTAAATCATTTGTGTCTTCTTCACTGTCAGGATTTGTCTCAGGCACCACCATATTCAAAGGCTCAGCATCGAAGTGGGGAGAGGGAGCAGGATCAATACTGACCTGGGAAGATGACTCCTGACCTTGATCCTCCATGGAGGGATCAAGTTCATCATTTGGGACCCCAGTAGCATCATCTTGTGCTGGCTGTTCAAATGGCATAATTTCTCTCTCTTCTTCTGTCTCTTCCCCCTAAGACTCAGACCCTCTTGCACATTCTTCTATAATGACCCCTTCTGACGCAATAGAAAATGTATTCTCTATTCCCTCCTTTTCTTGTAGTTCCATGGAGATTGCAACAAACGAAGGAGTGATACCTTCAGAGTCACAACTTGTCCTGGCGATCTCAGTCTCTTCATGACTAGTCACCAGATCTTCACTCAAGTGCTCAGCCATGGATAGAGTAAAAGGTTCCTGAACGAGGTTCCCCTCTTAACCCTATTGATTCTGTTTGACTAGTGAGACTGGAGGAGGACAGACATCTTCAAACTTACTTAGATGAGGAGTGGACTTGGAGAGTGTAGGAGAGGGAGTGGAGTCTGGAGGAGACTCTTCTTTAGGGTTTGGACCAGTGATTTCTTTAGGAGAGAGGTTTACCTCTGAACTACTAACTCGTGCGGACTCAACCGCAGTGTTGTCAGGCACACTAAAGGTTGCTTGATTTTCAAACATAATGAGATTATTCTCGAAGGACAGTGGATTTGAGAAGAGAGAAGACAAACAGGGAATTCTTGAGTTTGGAAGAGGAGGGGTTGTGATGTTGATTTAATTATGATGAGGGACCCATACTGAAACGGCGGCACCCTTTTGCTTGGGAGATGTATCGTTTAGAAAAGGAGTGACGTTTGGGTTGTGACGTATTGGCTGAAGAGACACGACTTTAAAGGGACTGTCACGCTGATGATGTGGTGGCATTGCTTTTGTCCATTTTAAATTGTGTATGAAAGAACAAAGAAACCACTAACCTGCGTTAGAGAACTAGGTTCCTTGATAGGTCTGGAAAGTGAATTTTATCCCCTTATTCATCATGCACTGCAGCATCTGCTTCTATAGTCATCATGTGTGTCTACCTGTAACAGTATAGAGGTGAGTTAGACTTAGCCAGAAAACACTTTAGCTAGCTTTTACCTGACTATGACTTTCATAACCAATAATGAGGAACCAGGTTCTCAGTTGGTTTTATCATCCCCAATGCACGGCGATCTTTCTCAGAATGCTTTCTTCCTAGGGCTTTTGGTGAAGATGTTTGCAACTTGATCTTCAACAGTCACTGTAGTTGGACCTCTTGAGTTGGGCTCAAGTTCTTCCAAATTTGTTGCTTGGTCCACATCACTTTTTTGCTTGGTCCACAGTACTTGACCACAGCAGGATGCTGATTATACATATTCTGCTTCAGCTGTTGAGAGTGCCATTAAATTCTGCTAGCCTCATGAGACAAGATAGGAACTCAGAGACTGTCCCAATTCAGGCGAGCTTTTCCTAACCATTACTTGGAGGACAGTAGAGAACCAGGTTCTGTGTTCTTCTAGGATACCTCAAGATACTTACACCATCCTTCAGATGAGAATCCTTTGGATTTGACTGAGACCTTGCACAGAACCCAACTCTGACCATGATGTCTAGTCTACTTGCAGTGAGATACAGAAGTGATTCAGTGATGTCTCTATGCAAAAGCCCTATTTCCAACAGCTTATTTTTCAGCTTATGTTGTTGTAGACGCGGGACCCGGTTCCTTGCTAGAATCAATAGGCGTTCTCTACCTTGATCATTATTTCTGTTCTCTTTTGAGACGAGTATGTCATGAGGATCCCTCCATCTCTTCTACCATCATATTTTCAAGGCTGACCCTTCCCATTGTTGAGAATATATCAGCTATACCCAGATGTACTCAATTAAGTCAGCAGCTTTGGTCAAGATGTTTGCAAACCCTTCATCAATTAATATTGACCGTGCCCAAATTTTCAAAAGTCCTTTCCTTCTTTTCAACAACTCCATCTGAGGTGGTGTTCTTTGAGCTAAATGGTTGAGTAGTTCTTCTTTCAACATAGCATTCATCCCCTTATGGCATTATGCAAACCTGTTCCATGATTTAATCTGATGCAAGCCACGTTTGTTTCTATTGGTACCTGGATCTTCTTGACAAAACCCACAGTTTCTTGAAAGATCTCATCCTTGGTTCTGAAGTGCTGTCTGCCCCTTTTTGGGCTTGAATGAAGATCTGACATGCTTTTCTTTTTGCACAGGCATTGCACACTTCATGTTACTTGCTACTCAACTTGATCAGACCACGAACCAGGTTCTTCAGATCCAGTTTGTTTAGAGATAGACAACGTGCAATGCTCCAGACTTTTGTCCCATGATTCAGTATTGTTTTCGATAGCTTCCAACCAACTTATGTCTCCACTCTGCAGAAGCTCAATCACAGCAACATACGTACTCTTGTGTCTTTTGCCTACAACATCACCTCACCAGTCATAGGATTAGAGATTGTGCATATCCTGTACAAGCATTCCAGCATATTTCCTTTGACACAAATTTTCCAACTCCTAGAGCGTGCCCCCTTTTTAACCATTTTCAAAAGGGTACACTCTCTCCTTGCAGGGCTTTTTAGTGAAGGAAAATTGATTGTATTTCCAGTCCTGTCCTTTGAGCAGTCGCTGTTCATATGTCATTATTGGCTGCTTCCCTTCACTGTTCCCTGCACACAGAAATCAAGGGTTAGATTTAGGAACCCAAACAAGTTTGGGTCCCTTGTTAAGAGAAAAAGGATGAATGAGTGCTTTCTTAGTCCAAGCAGGAAAAATGCGTTTCCTATTTGATGGACCAGGTCCTCTTACAGTAGTTGCTCTCTCAACAAAGACTTTATTTCTCTGATGAGACTGAATCCTGGCCATGCAATTTTCCTTGAGGTGCCCATTGTTGCCACAGTGGGTACATAGCCAATTGTTAGGTATAGTAACATACTTGCTATGAGGGTTGTAGGGAATCTTTTCCCTTTGAAACCCAATCCCCTGCCTGTTTCCCCAGAGTTGGTGTACATGGCAGTGATAGCATCCGAGGACCAGGTCCACTTAAGAGATTTCTCAAGATCACTCTTTAATTTCCCTAGTTCTTCCTGAAGTTGTTTGTTTTTCTCAAGTTCAGCAGACATACTAGTCTTTACCAAGTTTAACTCATTTTCAAGCTTAATGTGTGCTTCACTTGCAACTTCCTTTCCCTTTTCAGAGTTTCCAAGCCTATTTACTATTTTAAATTCCTCAATTGTTTCTGTCAAGTATACTACCACCACTACTAGGTCATCTCTTTCTTGCTCAATGATAGCAACTCTCTCAGTCAAGGTTTTCTTTTCTTTACTTGCACACTCAATGGTTTCTTTTAAGTCCACCACAACCACCATTAATCATCTCGTTCATGTTCTATACTAGCAATTTTCTCTTCTAAGGCATTCTTTTCTCTTTTCAGGTTCTCTATTGTTTCTTTCAAATCAACTACAACAACTACTAAGTCATCTCTAGTTTGTTCAGCTTTCCCTAGTTCCATAGTTAAAGCATCTTTATCATTGATAAGAATATAGTAAGCATCAATTAGCACATTTGCTAATGACATGAGCTTTTTAGAAGAGTAAGATTTCAGATTTCTCTAAACATCCAGAAAGTTTACCTCATCATCGTTGTCATCTTCATCGTCATCAGATTGAGCAATTAGAGCAAAGATTGAATCATACTCAGTTGTTTCATTTTCCACTGCCATCATTGAACTACCACCATGGTCGTCTTCTTCTTCAGATTCGCTGGAGGAGTCTCCCCATGCAGCAAGAGCTTGCTTTACAACGTTGTCAGCATCATTCTTCCTCTTGAAGCGTTTGTCAGGAACCTAGTTCCTCTTTGCTACTTTGTCAAAGTTGTTATTATACTGATCTTGCTTTAGGAGGGGGAAATCCTTGATGAAGTGTCCTGGCTTGACACATTTATGACAGAGATCATAAGTTCTAGGATTGCTAGAGCTTACCCTTTTTGGAATGCCTCCATTCCTGCGAACCATCTTCTAGAACCTTTTTATCAAGTAAGCCATGTCCCCGTCTTCACCACTTGAGTCATTGTTGTCCGTCTTGAGGACCAGGTTCTTCTCCCTCTTGGGCTCTCTTCTTTCATTGTCCTTCTTCTTCTTCTTCATTTCATAGGTTTTCAAGTTTCCAACAAGTTCATCCATGGTCAGTGTCTGCAAGTCCTTAGCGTCTGTAATGGCGTTAACTTTGCTTTCCCAAGAACTGGGCAGTACACTAAGGATTTTTTTGACAAGCTTGTTTCTTGGAATACTTTCACCAAGAGAGTGAAGCTCATTGATGATGGAGGTGAATTGAGTATGCATATCTTGAATGGATTCATCATCTTTCATTCTGAAGAGCTCATATTCTGTTGTGAGCATATCAATCTTGGATTGCTTCACCTGAGTTGTTCCCTCGTGAGCTGTCCGAAGAGCCTCCCAGATCTCTTTTGCTGATTGACAAGCTGATATCCTGTTATATTCATCAGGGCCAATCCACACACAAGAATTTTCTTTGCTCGAAAATTCTTTTCTATGGCCTTTCTATCAGCGTCATTGAATTCTTTCCTCGTCTTGGGAATGGCTAATGCTGGATCGCCAAGGTTCTTTGTAGAGACAAAGGGTCCGTCACATATTACATCCCATAACTCAGAGTCTTCAGCCATGATGAAGTCATGCATCCTAGTTTTCCACCACCCATAGTATTAACCATTGAACCTAGGAGGTCTGTACGTGGACTGGCCTTCTTCGAAGTTTGGAGGAGCATCCATGAGGATCCTTTCTAGGTGTTAACCTGATAAAAAGAACCTGCTCTATACTAATTGATAGAATGTATGGGTGTACCAACTTCAATATAGAACCATGTTCTCTATCAGGTTTGGCAGTACACACAGAGAGAACAGAAGTTAAATGACAAGAGGAATTTTACGTGGAAAATTCTCAGCTCAACAGGATTAAAAACCATGACCTACCCTTGTAGGATTTTAACTTCACTACCGAGCAACGTTCAGATTACAACCTATGCAACCTAGGAATTAACTCTTAATCCCTCACTAACTTGTAATACAGCTATTACAAGCCACTTTGCAATAACTCTATTACAAACACTTTAAAACTTG